GCCGTCTGTAAGCTCGAGAGCTCTGCGAACGGACATAGACACATGAATCTACATACGTGCGAGCATGATCTAAAAAGCAAGCGAATCGTGGTATTGCCAGAGCCCGTGCCTCAAGACTGTGGTTTTTGCCTGCAGCAGCTGCAAGCCCGAAATCTTTTTCTCGACCAAGGCTTCGTAATCAAAACCATATATATATATATATATTTTTTTTTATATGGCTCAAGGCACCAAGCAAGCGAAATCCATTGAACGTGCCGGCGCCATGGAGCCTGGAATGACGCCACCTGCTAAAGCTGTGAAAAGACCTGCGCGATCCCCCTTGCAAGAGATGGATGGTGACGTTCATGATGGGTCGATGGGCTTATCCGTGGCCGCCATAGGGGACATCGTTCGCAGTGAAATTGAGAGGGGATTGGCCCCAGTAGAACAGAAGTTGAACCACATTCACAGCATCTTGGATGAGCGCATTGACAAGATTGAAAGCACGGTTAGTCTAGTGAACAAGGATTGCGAATCGACAAATTAGAACAGCTCGTTATGCATGCTGAAAGCACACCTCGATCACATGTGTCGGAGCGCAGTGCGCAGTTGGAGACCCAGATCAACGATTTGCAATCACAAGTGACCGCTTTGCGAACGTCGGAAGCAAGCGCCCAGCAAGACTATATGCGAACCATGGTGATTGGCGGCTTAGATGCTCTGCCATCACTACAGGATGCCACGACGTGGTTGACGACCAAGTTAAGCACATTGCAGGGCCCGTCACACATCGGCACGTACATGAAGTCGCAAGCATTTCAAGGGTTGCTGTTTGCCAAGTTCCGAACTCCGGTAGACCGAGACACAGCAGTGGCATTGTTGAGAAGTGCCGAAATGCATGAAAATGGCAAACGAGAGTGGGCTACGCAAGATCTACCGATGATGCAGCGTGTGCAGAAAGTTTTCCTCATGGGACTTCCGTGGCAGCTTGGGGAGTGGGGTTTCATGAAAAGGGAGATGCAGTGGGACGACAAGTTTACCAGCCTCACGGTTGGGACCGACGTGGTAGTCACCGTTCGCATTTCCAACCAGAAGTTGGTGTGTGATTGGTCCCCGGAATGGGCACAATGGGATGATCTGCAAAGCAGCGTTGAGTTGAAGCAATTGATCCAACGTGCCAATGACAAGTTGCAACACAACAGTGTTTCCAAAGGGTCCGGCAAGAGCAAGCAAAGGTCTGCCGGGCGAATGGAAACGTCGTCCTAGGGACATCTCCGTCCGAGTCCAGGCGTTTCACCAATGTCGCACACTGCAGGTCACAAACCTGTTCTCGAGGTGGCTAAGTCGACAACATGTTCAGCGCGTGTGAATTCGAGTTTTTTCTGTTTATTGCAAAAATGCGAGGCTACATACAGATGACAGGCTTGCAGAGCTTTTGGGCGAATTGAAACATTGTCAGTGGGATGTCGTGCTATTCAGCGAGACTTGTCGGAATTCTGATCACTGCACACTTGCTGGTGGTCACAAGCTATATTCATCATCGCAACAATCGGTCGCAGCGGGTGTTGCTATACTTGTGGACCAACGCCTTGTACATGGTGTGACTCAAATACGTGTGATCAGGGACCGTTTGATGTTTATTGATTTAACATTTGGGACCAACAGATGCAGGTTCATTTCCGTTTACATGCCACATGCAGGATATCCACATGGTGAGTTGAGCATGGTATATGATCAACTTGATTGGATTTTGGCCGATGCGCAAAACATGAATTATGCCTCCGTGCTTGGTGGCGATTTCAACACACAGTGGAATGTGGGAGTTCGTGGCGACATGATTCGGGAGTTCTCCTATATGTTTGGTCTTTCCTTGGCCAATCCGGCGCATATGCCAGAGAGCTGGACATTTCGCAGTTCCGCGGGCATCAAGCGCCAGATCGATTTCATCCTTTTCAGCTCCCAATTATGCTGTGGAACTGCTGGGGCAGTTGACGTGCTTGATTTGGGGTCTGACCATCGTGCAGTCCACTGCAGTTTAAGCTTGCGTGGGCGTTGCTCCAAACGGTTTTGGAAACCATTACGTGTGCCACGTGGTTGGATGCCGAACAACCAACGTCAATATCACGCCAGTTTGCAGTTGCGGTTGTCCAACCAAAGACCCAACAACATCACGGAGATTGAAGCTCTTGTGCATTCCGCAGCCATTTCGACCATGAAGTGTCAACAGCCGAGACGCGTTGAACCATGGGAACATGACGACTTCCAACATCTTTTGCAGCAACGGAGAGCATCACGAGATGTGTCTGAGAGGCGAGCACTTTCCAAACAAATCCGCAAAAAACTACGGGCTTTTCAGCGCCAGAAACAGAATCAGAAGATCATTGTGATCTTGGAGCAGTTCCAAGATTTTGGAAGATTAGACGCTTTGTTCCATGAGCCAGTTAAGACACTGGAAATGCCAACGGCCAACAAGCCGAGCCCCAAAGATTTTACTGATTGCTTGTCCGAGATTTTTGCATCAAGCAACGTGCATACAAAGATTTGTGGAAGTAGCCCTGGTTTTTCGACCATTCCGCCTTTTCAACTTTCCGAGCTGAGACATGCATTTCAACACATGCGCAATCGCAGAAGTGGTGATAGCGCAGGTTTGGTCCTGGAGATGTTCAAGTTGGGCTGTGCAGAACTCCACGAATGCTTGCTTGATATTTATAATCGCATGCTTATCGAAGAATCTTTGGAACCATCATGGCAGCACACTCTTTTCAAAATGCTACCGAAACCCGGTGATT